CATCATAGATTGTGCTGTAGCAACTGAGCCTCCAAAGTTAGGTACCCTAGATCATCATAGATTGTGCTGTAGCAACTGAGCCTCCAAAGTTAGGTACCCTAGATCATCATAGATTGTGCTGTAGCAACTGAGCCTCCAAAGTTAGGTACCCACTTGAACAATTGTATTTTCTACTTTGCACCCACTCCTCGCCTGCCACTCATAATGGAGCCATAAATTTATCATACATGTCAGAAAATAGTTTGTTTTTTTATTATCATGTCGAATTCCCAAACAATTTCCGACTGCCTTTCGTTTCGTTTAGTTTTAGTTTAAGTTCTATAGGTCACTTGCATCACAATTAGGTCACAGTACAAGGGCTGATGCCTCTTGTTCCTTTGTTCCTTCAGACTTCACAATATATACAAAGGAGACTTGAACTAGAAAAAAAAAAAGAAAAAGAAAAAAAATCTCGAGAAGCTTGAATGTCGAACTCGAGTCCCATTTATCAATGCTTTGAGCCTTGACCAATATTTCCAACTTTATCTCATGGACCGTTTTAACTCTCAGTCCCGTTTTAACTCTCAGTCCCGGGGTAACAAAAAAGGCCTGCTTGATTCTCCATTCTTCTCTTGCAGCTGGGAAACTCTTCCACGACTGACAAACCAGCCAGCTGACAATAACAAGGCTTTCAATTGTCAGCCCGTTGTTCCAATATTTAAAAAAACAAACAAAACAAACAGAAGAATTTTAACCTGTGGTATCTGTTGCAATTGACACAAACTATCCTGTGATCTAGAACTATTTAGTCGAAATTAAAATTCTAAATGTTAAAAAAAAAAAGAAAGAAAAGATACACAATGAAGTTACAGTCGAAAACAAAACAAAAATGAAATAGTTTTCATTTTCCTCTCCAGAAAAGTTGTACTTTCTGAGTGTAGCAAATTGGAACAGTAAACTGAGAAAATGCTTAGCTTTAACCAAAGAACTTCAGTAACAAAGACAGCTGAGGTTAACTCATCTCTACTTTTTTCTTTTCTTAACCCTATCCGTCTTCGTGTTTTACTATCGTATCCATACCACGTGGGGAACTCTGTGCCACCACTTAACCCTATCCGTACGTCGTGTTTTACTATCGTATCCATACGACGTGGGGAACTCTGTGCCACCACTTAACCCTATCCGTACGTCGTGTTTTACTATCCTATCCATACCACGTGGGGAACTCCGTGCCACCACTTTCCAAAGAGAAAATTTACTTGTTAATCTGATCCGTACCCTTTGCACAGTCTGTCAAAATTACTTTTTGAGAAATTCTGAAAGTTTCAAAGAGATCTTCACACTAGAAGTATTCTAAAATGTGAAGAATACAACCCCGGGGGTACAAAATGACCCCAGGGCGTACGGCAAAAAAATGTCCTTTCTGACATGTATGATAAACAACTGTCTTGTCTCTTTAGAAAGAAAAAAACTCACCCCAGAAACCATTTTCTGCTAGTTTTTACCCTCATGTACGCTGACTCACCAGGACATATCTCCACGCACAATTTACATAAAATATTCAGTATTCATTCCACCATAAAGTTTTCTGACAAAAGCTTTCTAGAAGCAAAAAGATAAACAGTCACGATTTTGAAACCACAATGTGTAACATAGCCAGTCAGTGGTTCAGCAAACAATTACTTCTGGAAATGATCAAATAGTTGGGCTATCCCCCCCCCCCCCCCCCCCCACCAAAGTCACTGTACTAAATTATTAACTATATGAAAAACTAGATAAATACAAATACAGTTGAAGTGACAGACAACAAATTGTCATGTATACATTGCACAAGTTCAAGAGTCTGCTCCATCCTTGGACGTCCACCGGTGGGCCACTCAGGGAAACACCTGGCTAACCGAGTCCCCTCAAGCCCTACAGGAAATCCGCACTCACGAACATCCGCACCAAAACTGCCAGCTCCTCTACTCACGGTGATCTCCAGGCAGAGGCCCACCAAAGCCTTGGAAGTTTGAGCAAAGTTGAAGAGTGCTCCGACGACCGTCTCTTCAGCCTCCTTCCTGGAGTGTGCTGGCTGCATCCACTGCTGCCAGATCTTCACCGGCTTTCTGCCAGACAGGTGTGCTGGCTGCATCCACCGCTGCCAGATCTTCACAGGCTTTCTGCCAGACAAGTGTGCTGGCTGCATCCACTGCTGCCAGACCTTCAAAGGCTTTCTGCCAGACAGGTGTGCTGGCTGCATCCACCGCTGCCAGATCTTCACAGGCTTTCTGCCAGACAGCAGCTAGAATCCACCAAGAAATCCATCCAGTATTGACTCCCCAAATATATCCTACAAGCCCCGCCCGACAGCTGGATATTCCATACATCCGAGAGTGGCGGGTCACAGCGAAAGTGGCGGGTCACAGCGAAAGTGGCGGGTCCCAGAAACGAGACTATAATTCCATCCATCCGACAGTGGCAGGTCACAGAAACGAGACTATAATTCCATCCATCCGGCAGTGGCAGGTCACAGAAACGAGACTATAATTCCATCCATCCGACAGTGGCAGGTCCCAGAAACGAGACTATAATTCCATCCATCCGACAGTGGCAGGTCCCAGAAACGAGACTATACAATTGTGGAAAAAAACCTCCCCATTTCAGCTCAAGTGGTGGTTGGGCTAATCACTCCCAGCAAATGACAAGCCTTCTTTCAGTAGTTGGTCCACATCTCTGGTGCCTGAACACAGCAAATGACAAGCCTTCTATCCGCTCCAGCGGTCGGCTGGGATAGCCGCAAACACAGCCGTGAACAGCCTTCTATCAGCTGAAGCAGTCGCGGTACGCTGACTAACAAACATGGCTGCCAAAAAAGAAAAGCGTGCTCCCCCTGTATCAGCTGTTCAATATACTCTGCACGGCAGCGTCAAGGTCCGTGTCCTTGTTGCCGCTACCACTACGTCGGCTGCCGGCCGCGCTGCGATGATGGCTGGACGGGCGGGCGGTGGAGGACCAGCTCATGTGAGAGTTGTCGTCGTCGTCGTCATCACTGTTGAGGACACTGTTGATGGCGGAGCGCACCGAGTCGTTGATCATGCTGTTCTGGGGGTCTCGGTTGTCGATCTCGAAGGAGGCGAAGCCCGAGGGTCGGCTGTTGTGGTGTTCGTCGTCAGACGAGGAGTACATGTCCTCCGTCTCCAGCAACGTGCGGTTGTTGGTGGAGGAGAAGAGCGAGGTGTTGGGCAGACCCCGCTGAGCCGCCTCTTTCTCCATGTTGCTCACCGGGCTCTCCGCCACAAACTCCTCGTCGTTCGCAGACGCCGCCGGAGAGGCACACGCTGAGGCAGCCAGTTGCTTGTGGTCTCCGCCCCCCGTGGAATGACTAGTACAAGTACTTTGCTTTCTCACCTGGCTGTGATCCATGTTGTCGCCAGGCTCGCCAGGGCCGGGGTCAGCACCCTCGTCGTTGAGCGCGGCGCCGGGATACAGCAGGTCGGGTGTGAACACATCGTCGGAAATCTCCGAGAAATCCCTGGTGACCCGAGAGAGCCTCCTTTTGACCTTTGACCCCGAGTCCTGGGACATTTCGCTGATGCTAGTGATGTTGGAGTACAGCTGAGCCGTAGTTTTCAGGCTGGCCAGTTTCAAGGCTGGCCGCTGGTCTTGTGTGTCTACAACAGAATGGCCACATGTCTGGCCGTCTGTCTCAAAGGCATCGTTCTCCGCCTCTGCTTCCACGTCCTCATACGACGACTGGTGAACCTCCTCTTTGGACAATTTCCCACTTATAGATGACCTGCTTTCACTCTCACTTTCATCATCGTCTTCTTCAACATCCTCCTCCTCCCCCTCTTCTTCTTCCTCCTCCTCCTCTTCATCGTCGTCCATATCCTCCTCATCTTCCTCCTCCCCTTCCGAGGAGCGCCTGCTGCCTTTATGAAATGATGACTGTGAACTGGACTCACTGCGGGCCTCCAGGGAGGTTTGCCGGGAGGTCAGAGAGATGGAGGAAGTCCTTCGCCGCACTAGGACCGGCTGATTGTTGAGTCCCTCGTGCCTAGAATCAAACTCGTACTCACTGTCACTCTTCTCTAGGTTCACCACAGGCTTCAAGTCTTTGGGCACAGAGCCTGAACCTTCCAGGGAATTCTTCACCACAAAATTGTCCGTGGTGTTTCGCTTGAACACCATCTTGAGCGTGCCCGTAGTAATCTGGTCTCCAGGATGCTTTCTCTTCCTACTGGCCGTGGAGCCATCGGGGACGGACTTGGCTGCCGCTGCCTGTGGTCCAGGTGGGCGGAGCTCCGCATGTTCCAGCCAATGGGAGGCCATGGGCCGCCGGCGGTCTAGGCACACCTCGCTGTCGCTCTCCTCCACGAGCAGGCGGCCAGACTTCTGGGGGGTGGGGCTGGGCGTGCCAGGGCTCCCGGGAGATGAAGGAGCTGTTGTTGTTGTTGTTGCAGCTGCTGCTGTTGCTGTCCCTACTGCTGCTGCTGCCATGTACTCTTGACGCAGTTGCTCGCACGAATCTAGAATGAGGTCAAACAACAACAATAAAATTAATTTAAAAACGCATTATTCGTGGAGATCAAAGATGACAGCTGCAACAATCTGAAAGAGTTTTTGCGTAGTCATAGCAAGAGTTTTTTCTTTCATTTTCATAAAAGTTTTACAGCACTTGCAACACAATAAGGTCATATAAGTGCCGGAGATTAGAGGTGTTACAAGAGAGTAACAGGAGAAATAAGGACACGAATGTTTGATAGGAAAGAAGAAGCAAACCACACAAGAGCACCCGCCAACCACCCACTTAGCAAGACTTATATGGTACTTGCAACACACACCGGTCATATAAATGCCAATCTTGACAACAAGATAGTGCTGACTGCACACGAGAAAAAAACAGTAAATTCAACGTCAGACTAGCATAGAAGAAAATGACAAACTGTGCAAGTTGCAAGGACTTCCTGTTCCCACTTTCTGCAAGACAATTCAGATGGTCGGAAAGTATTCCTCAAGAGCATGATCAAACCTGTTTTAGGGAAGTCAGATCGAGTTGTACAAATAGATTTGGATCCTAAATCCATACTTTTTCCAATTCTTCCTCTACTATTCTGAACAGTCAAGGGGGAAAACCTTGCTTCCATTTCCTCCCAAAATTCCAAATGACAATTCCTGCTTTTTTTTCCTTTTCTCTCTCTCTCTCTTTAAAAAAAAAAAAAGTTATAGTAAGAGTTGAATGGCCTGGCAACATAAATACGGCATATAAATGCCCAATAGTAGGTGTATACCATTCAAACAATAGAAGGAGGAGAGATAAGGACAATTGATGTCTGAAAGGGATAGATTAGAAGGAGCAAACCACACCAGAGCACCCTCAATTTTCGTATGAGTTTTACGGCACTTGCAACACAATAAGGTCATAGTTTAGTTAAGTTTAGTTTAGTAAGGGGATTTACGGCGTTCGCAGCTGCATACAGTCATATGAGCGCGCGAAACAAGTTGTTTTTTTCTCAATGGTTCATATCTTGGTCTGATTCTGGTCAATATTTCTACATAAAATTGTTAGAACCCTAAAAATCGAGGGTAAATAGATTTTAGATTTAAATTTTAAACAACTTTCTAAATAACACTTTAAAATTTCAAACACTATCTATTTTATAACTTTTCATATAGGCCAATGGCCTTCATAAAATCTAAAACTCTGCTGGGAACAACGACTGAAATAATATCTTTCAATTTTTTGCATTTAAAATATTTCCTTCGGGTCTCTCCAAAGTCTAGACTTTCGGTTAAAATGTGTCTACTGGTAAAATCTGTTTCGCATCCGACACAGAACGGTTTCTCTTCTCCCTGAAGGAGGTATCTTTGTGTCAGGGCTGCGTGTCCGATGCGATGCGTAATCGAGTAAAAATGACTTCGTCTCTTCTAGAGAGGCCCAAAGGATTTGGCGATCCCAGTTTGGGTTGAATGTTGTGCAGTTTGTTCTTTGTTTAGTTTGTTCTTTGTTTAGTTTGTTCTTTGTTTAGTTTGTTCTTTGTTTAGTTTGTTCTTTGTTTAGTTTGTTCTTTGTGCAGTTTGTTCTTTGTTTAGTTTGTTCTTTGTTTAGTTTGTTCTTTGTGCAGTTTGTTCTTTGTTTAGTTTGTTCTTTGTTTAGTTTGTTCTTTGTTTAGTTTGTTCTTTGTTTAGTTTGTTCTTTGTGCAGTTTGTTCTTTGTTTAGTTTGTTCTTTGTTTAGTTTGTTCTTTGTGCAGTTTGTTCTTTGTGCAGTTTGTTCTTTGTGCAGTTTGTTCTTTGTTTAGTTTGTTCTTTGTTTAGTTTGTTCTTTGTTTAGTTTGTTCTTTGTTTAGTTTGTTCTTTGTTTAGTTTGTTCTTTGTTTAGTTTGTTCCAAAGGCTCTCCCACAGGCTGGAATATGGTCAGATAATTGAGGAAGATTACAGGTTACAAGAGAGCAACATACACAAAAAAATATAGGAGAGATAAAGACAAAAGACATTTGATAGGAAAGAAGGAACAAAGCACATCAGGGCACCCGCCAACCACCCAACCAGCCACTGATTCATGTCTGGGGGTGTACTTACCCGGACAAGTCTTGGCCCGCTCCTTGGCGAGCTCGAGGTCCTCCCTCATCTGTTGGTTGAAGCAGGCCAGGTTGTGGAAGCTGTCCACGCCTTTCTCTGCGCACTGGCGGGGAACGAACCAGAACAACAGCAATGAGCAACGGCAGCTTTTTAGCAACACGCAAGGTCATTCAAGTCCACAAGATGACAGGTGCTACAAGAGAGGAACAAACACCACAAAGGAGGAGAGATCTGGACGACAGACGGT